GCAGTTCAAAAGCACATCAAAGTGCAAGTAGATAAATAGGTACCGCTCCGGTGGGAAGGTAAACGGCATTTCCGTGCGCTGCTCTGGTTCGCCAGAAGCGGCTTAGTCATGCTGGTCACATGACCCAGGAGCTGTACACCTGCTCCCTCAGCCAATAAAGCGAGATGAGCGCTGCAACCCCAGAGTCGGCCACGACTGGACCTAATGGTCAGAGGTCCCTTTAACTTTTTTAAGGTAGTCTCTATGGGAGTATTGTTGTTGTTGTTATTTAGTCATTTAGTCATGTCCGACTCTTCGTGACCCCATGGACCAGAGCACGCCAGGCACTCCTGTCTTCCACTGCCTCCCACAGTTTGGTCAAACTCATGCTGGTAGCTTTGAGAACACTATCCAACCATCTCATCCTCTGTCGTCCCCTTCTCCTTGTGCCCGCCATCTTTCCCAACATCAGGGTCTTTTCCAGGGAGTCTTCTCTTCTCATGAGGTGGCCAAAGTATTGGAGCCTCAGCTTCAGGATCTGTCCTTCCAGTGAGCACTCAGGGCTGATTTCCTTCAGAATGGATAGGTTTGATTTTCTTGCAGTCCATAGGACTCTCAAGAGTCTCCTCCAGCACCATAATTCAAAAGCATCAATTTTTTGGCGCTCAGCTTTCTTTATGGTCCAGCTCTCACTTCCATACATCACTACTGGCTATGGGAGTATATTGTATTTAATTATGGGGTATCAGAGTTTCTAGGGGGTTAACCCGGCTAGGATAGCTGGGATAGCAGGCTTGTTGGTTTTTTGAATGTTTGATGTAGATTTTTTCAATTTCGTTGTTCTGTATGGGCCAATGACAATAAAGATTATCGTATCGTACACAGGGGAGTCACAGCCCCACCTGGAAATGCCAGAGATTGAACCTGGAACTTGCTGCAGGGAAGGTTTATACAAAGCAGGCCTCTGCATTGCAGCTTCCCCTTCTCACCTGAGCTTCCCATCCTTCCTTACCTTCCTCCCCTTCTGATGGTCCTTCCAGTGTCCCACCCAACACCTGTCTCTCCTTTCAACCCAGTGCCCTGTCCTGGACTACCCTGGATTGCTCAGGGTGGTCCAAGCTTGCCTTCAGCCAACTTAGCCGAAGTCTGGCTCCCATCCCCCACCCTCCGTTGAGAGCATTTCTGTTCAGGATTTGGGCAATTCTGGTGCAAGCAGAACCTGAGCACAACAGCACTCTCCTACCTGTGATTCCTAGCACCTGATATTCAGAGGCACACTACCTCTTTCGATGAGATAGTTTTGATCCCGAGATAATAATAATAAATAATAATATTTTTTTATTTATTCCCCACCCTTCCCGGTTCAAAAAACCACGCTCAGGGCGGCTAACAATAAATTCAAAACACTTAATTGATGCAACGAAAAACAGCATAAAATACAATATAAAACGTGAATAACAATAAATTCAGGATTCAAACATCAATTTAGGGGGGAAATCCATCCAATAAACATTAGATGATCACCAGGGCTAGCTGGCTAAATTAGCCCTATTTGGGCCAGTGAGGAGACCAGGGGAGAATTAGCTGTGGGATCCCAGAGCGGGTAATCTTCATAAAAAGGGGATGAAGGGGAATAAAAGATCAGGCTAAGTTCAAATTGAAAGCCAGGTGGAATAGCTCTGTCTTACAGGCCCTGCAGAAGGAAGTTAAATCCTGCAGGGCCCTGGTCTCATGGGACAGAGCATTCCACCAGGTCAGAGCCATCACTGTAAAGGCCCTGGCTCTGGTGGAGGATAATCTGACTTCCTTAGGGCTTGGGACCTCTAAACTATGATTATTCATGGACCTTAAGGTCCTCTGCAGGGCATACCAGAAGAGACGGTCCCATAAATACGAGGGCCCTAAGCCACAAAGGGCTTTAAAGCTCTTTGTTGGTACATTGCCTCATTCGGTTCCCTCTCCTCTGGCCAAAAGTGAGGCCAGTCATGTACAGCGTCACATCCTGCACAAAAAATGAAGTGAAGATGGACTACTGTTTGCACAGCTCTTTGAAAGTGATAAGTGGTAAATGTGCTCAGCGCTATGATACTAGTCTCTTATGAATACAGTGAAAACAAATAACGGGGAGATAAAGCTGTGTGTTGTTCAACTTACGCTGACATGATTAAAAGCCTCTTCATTCCTCCGCCTTTTTTAAATCTTGTGTGTAATATGTTTAAAGTTCAATTTTGCCTATATATTTTAATGCTTTAGCATTTCAGTGGCTTAGAGGTTGTCGTGATGCCAGACTGCTGATCCAAAGATATTTGGGCTGAGGCTGAGCAGTTCACTTCCACTATGACCCTAAGATCAAAAGCGTCTAGGAGCTGGGGATAGATGGATGGACCTGTCTGTTCCTGGCATGTGTCAGTTTTGAGTATGTTCATTCAAAAGTCCTTTCCACCCTGTTTCCGTAGTTATCTGAATTTTTCCTTTAAAAAATAAACATTTGAATATTTGCATTTAAATCTATTTTCTGGAATCTATTTTCTCATTTAGAAATATATTTTATCCAAAAATATGCATTTTGGTACTTAAAAGAAAAGAATTCTGGGCTGAGAATTGCATTGCAAAATTCAGAAATGTGCAAAATCTGAAGGTTAATTACATTCCAATCTGCATGTTGCTCATATTGGAATGGCAATGCTCAACAATTAGTTTCTGGGCTCGATTCAAAATCCTGGTTTTGACCTATAAAGCCTTATGCAGCTCAGGACCCCAATACCTCAAGGACTGCCTCTCCCCATTTGAGCAGACCCAGGCCTAGTGATCATCATCTGAGGCCCTTCTTTGTGTGCCACATTCATGGGAGGTCCAGAGGGTGGCAACATGAGACTGGGCCTTTTTAGTGCTGGCTCCCTACTTATGGAAAGCTCTCTACAGGAAGGTTCACCTGGTGTCATCTTTACATACCTGTAGGCACCAGGCCTTTGGCTTTTAATTGTCTGTGGTTTTTTTGCATAGGTGGGATGCTTTGGTCCAGTTTTTTTAGAAGCACAATTGTCTTTTAGACTTTTTAAATTTCATTTTAATGCTGGTTTTAATGCATGCATGTGTTTGTCTGTATGCTTATAATATTGTAAGGGATCAATAAATGCAATGAATAAAATACCAGAATTCACAAAGAACAAAGACCAGGCATCCCTTTGTGTGTCAAGACCCCGTAACCACCCCATTGTTGATTAATAAGACACAAGGACATGGATAATAAGTTAATGGGTATTGGGCAAATTTTGGCCACAACTTTATTGGTTACACAATGTGAGTGGTATTGGTTTAGGCATTGGATTGACCCAACTATATCTGACTCCTGCCCGTCATGCAGGGAGTCCGATAAGGGTAAACCACTGGAAGGGGGAGCCCCGCCGATGCAAACCAACTCGAGCTCCCCCAGGGTTCCCGATGGGGTCGTGGCATGGTCCTAGCCCCCCCTGGGCTTCGGACAAGATCCACACCCCTGGATTCCTTTAATGGAATACCCTTAAGCTTGGAGGGGCATATGATGGCCACACCTCCCCTCCCTCATCATAAGATCAACCAATGCCTAACCATAAAACCTTACAAAGTTGTGACGATTGCTACGAGGTAGGTGAAAACCCTACCAAGTGGGAAAATTCCTACCAGGCCCCTCAACAGCGACCAACCAGGTCCATAGCAAGGCCAGATGAGAAAACCCGCAAATTAGGGAGGGCAGGTGGGAGATTGAGGAAGCAAGCCAAGAGGAGGCTTTCCGGCTCATGCCTCCATTTAAATGGGTCCCGGCCATGCCTCCCCAGCCAGTGTATTGGCTGGCTGGTTGATGATGTGGCCAGGATCCTCCTCGCAACGCAGAACTCCGCCCCCACCCCCGGACGGAAGTGGGTAGCCACATGGTCCACCACAACTCCTCCCCACATTTAAGTGGAGCGGATTAAGTTGAAACAAGCATAAAAACTGATGCTGTCCATGCCATGACTATATTGCCAAGTGATAGAAGAAAGGAACACAGGCAGTTGCTGACCAGGAGGGGAGAAGGGGAAATCAGGAGCTTGGCACAGTGTGGGTACCCTGTGGGAATGTAGGGTTGGGCTCTGCCAGTGCACTCACACAGTGCTGACCCCAACACTGCTCCACTCCTCTCTCTCTCTCCTGATAAGTCGTGATGACACCAGTCACTGCTGAGAACCCATGTGATGGTGTTTCCCATTGCTTACTGCCTATATGAGGTGACCCTCCCAATGCCCAAAGATTGAGATCCCATTCCAAGATGTAATGAATCTGGGTGGCATCTCTTCTCCGCACCTGATCACCCCAGCTTAACCTAGCTAGGCACAAGGTCAACAGGAAAGCAAGACACAGAAAACAAAGAAGAGTCCATGGTCTTCTCTAACCGGGGTGTGCAATTTGGACTTTGAGGTCACCAAACAGCCACCCAACACCCGTTTTGGAGCGTTTACATTATGGAAGTCTAACAGCTTAGAAGGCTATAAATGCCTCTTTATTCATCAGCAGTTCTTAAAAGTCTATAAATATCCACCACTATATTTGTTTAATGTACTCTTAAAGATTCCAGAGGAGCTGTTATTATTTGGCTTGTCAGCTCCTCGGTGCCTTCAACAAGCAGAAGAATCGCGTTCCCCAGCTTGCTTTGCTCCCCCACCCAAAGTTTCGCTATTACAGCAGAGTAAACCGTCAAGACCCTAATGCACAGGTTAGCCAACATGCTGCCCTCTAGATGGCGCTGGTCTAAAGCTCCCACCATCCCCGACCACTAGACATGCTGGCTGGGGCTGTTGCGAGCTGGAGACCAAGAACATCTCAAGGAGACTAGGAGGGGAGGTGCGTCAGAGGGAGAAAGAATTGATATTGGCTTGTATTTCTTCAAAATTTGCATTACTGCAGCATTTGTACATGCTACAGTGCAAGGTCTTGTAGTATTTCATGGGATCATAGAATTGTAGAGATGGAAGGGACCACGAGGGTCATCTAGTCCAACCCCCTTTTGCCCAATGTGGGGTTCGAACCCATGACCCCGAGATTAAAAATCTCATCCTCTACTGTCTGAGCTCTCTCTTTCTCTCTCTGCTGTTGTATAAGTTGTCTGTTGCTGTTTTCTGTATGCCTCTTAGAGATATTTTTATATATAAAGCAGTATAGAAATTGTCGAAAATGAACAAATGAAATAAATGGCATCTCATCAGGGAACCCACAGGAATAGTCCATAAAGTGAAAGTGATTTATAAACAGCCTCAGTCAGGAAAGTGAGGGTGTGTGTGTGTCTTGGTGGCCACCCCCCTAAATTTTTTAAATTTCTTTAAGCACATTTTGAAGTGTGGTACAGTCATACCTCATGTTACGTCCACTTCATGTTACATTCTTTCAGTTTACGTCCCACGGCGACCCGGAAGTACCAGAAAGGGTTACTTCCGGGTTTTGCCGCTCGCGCGTGCACAGAAGTGCAAAATGACGTCATGCGCAGAAGCAGCGAATTGCAACCCGCATGTGCTCAGACATGCCGCTGCGGGTTGCGCTCTTTTCATGTTGCGAACAGGCCTCCGGAACGGATCCCGTTCGCAACCAGAGGTACCACTGTATTACACACTCCCACCTAAAGAAGACACCCGTACAGTGGTACCTCAGGTTACAGATGCTTCAGGTTACAGACTCCGCTAATCCAGAAATCGTGCTTCAGGTTAAGAACTTTGCTTCAGGATGAGAACAGAAATCGTGCTCCGGCGGCATGGCAGCAGCAAGAGGCCCCATTAGCTAAAGTGGTGCTTCAGGTTAAGAACAGTTTCAGGTTAAGTACGGAGCTCCAAAACAAATTAAGTACTTAACCTGAGGTACCACTGTATAAGATAATTTCAAGTGATATAATACATGTTCAACATCTACAGATGATCCACCGTCTAAAATTCCATAATTGCACCACTCCAGGAAGGACCTTTCCTGATGTGGCACCACAGTTGTGGAATGCCTGTCTGGAGAAAACCTGTCTGGCTCCATCACTGCTTACTTTTGGGTGAGTACTGAAAACCTTGTGCTTCAGTTGGGCCTTTTCAGCATGCTAACATGAGCCTGCCGTGTGCTGGAAAGATGCACGTGGAGGTTTTCCATTCCCCACCCCCTCTTTTTCTTGTTGCGAGTGCTGTATTTTCTCATTTCATTTTGTGGTGTTTTGAAATTGTTTGGTTGTTTTGTAGTGTTCCGCACTTACGCACGCTGCCTTGGGCATCCCCCGGGACTGGAAATGCAGGGTATTCAATGACAAGCGAACAAAAATCTCCAAAGTGCTCTTAAGCTCGGGAGGAGGTTGAGATCCACTTGGGACTCGGTTGTGGCGGAGACCTGCTCCAAGGATTTCTGGGGACAGTGAAACTGTATGGCCTCCTAAGAAGCTCTACCTAAGTTCAATAAATTCAAGATAGAATGGAATTGCGACATCACTGGAGGCATAATACATCTCTCATTATCTTCTATAATGATGTTCCACGTGTCTGAGCGTAAGCAAATGTCTGATTGCTTTCTCCTCCAGAAGTGCTTTGCCAGCACTGGCGGGAAATATCACTGGGAAGCATAAGAGAGAGGGAGAAAGGAAGAGGATAGTGCAGGGCTGCGTTTGAGGAATCTGCAACTTCTTTCCCTGGGGGTGAGTCTTCTCCAATGTCCCTCCCGCTCTAGGAAATTACAATCCGTGCTACCTTAGTGTGCAGAAGCATTTAAAAAAGTAATAGCAGCAACTAGATGAATCCCCTCTTTCTGGTCTCTTCCCTGTTTGCATGATTACAGATTCCAAACTCCTATGGGCAGGAGAGGGCTGGCCTGCAATCCTTGTTCAAAAGTCTACCTAGCCATCAGTGGACTGCAACGTAATCCAAGTTTGGATGTGCAGTTGTCTACCCCAGAAGAATAACATGAGGTGGGGGATTTAAACACATCATTGAATAGAAACTTAATACGGCCACATCTGGAATACTGTGTCCAGTTCTGGGTACCACAATTTACAGTGGTACCTCAGGTTACAGACGCTTCAGGTTACAGACTCGGCTAACCCAGAAATAGTACTTCGGGTTAAGAACTTTGCTTCAGGATGAGAACAGAAATTGTGTGGTAGCGGTGTGGTGGCAGAGGGAGGCCCCATTAGCTAAAGTGGTACCTCATGTTAAGAACAGTTTCAGGTTAAGAACGGACCTCCAGAACGAATTCTTAACCCGAGGTACCACTGTATTCCGGATGTTGACAAGCTGGAACGTGTGCAGAGGAGGGCAACCAAGATGGTCAAGGGTCTGAAAACCAAGCCTTATGAGGAGTGTTTGAAGGAGCTGAGCATGTTTAGCCTGGAAAAGAGGAGATGAAGACAAGATATGATAGCATAATAATAATAATAATAATAATAATAATAATAATAATTTATTATTTATACCCCACCCATCTGTCTGGCTTTCCCCAGCCACTCTGGGTGGCTTCCAACAGAATATTAAAATACAATAGTCTATTAAACATTAAAAGCTTCCCTAAACAGGGCTGCCTTCAGATGTCTTCTAAAAGTCTGCTAGTTGTTTTTCTCTTTGACATCTGGCAGGAGGGCATTCCACAGGGCGGGTGCCACTACTGAGAAGGCCCTCTGCCTGGTTCCCTGTAACTTGGCTTCTCGTAGCTAGGGAACCGCCAGAAGGCCCTTGGCATTGGACCTCAGTGTCCAGGCAGAACGATGGGGGTGGAGATGCTCCTTCAGGTATATTGGACCTTCAAATATCTGAAGAGCTGTCACATGGAAAATGGGGCGAGATTGTTTTCTCCTGCTCCGGAGGATAGGACTCGAACCAATTTTTCCAGAAGGTGATTCCAACTAAACATCAGGAAGATCCTTCTGACAGTAAGAGCTTTTTGACAGTGGAACGGTCACCCTTGGCAGGTTGTGGACTCTCCTTCCTTGGAGATTTATAAGTAGAGGCTGGATGACCACCTGTCATGGATGGTGTAGCTGAGATTCCTGCATTGCAGCAGGTTGGAATAGATGATCCTTGGGGATCCCGTGCAACTCTATGATTCTATGAGAAAGCAAACAGGAGATTTATTAGGCAAAGGAAAGGAGGTGTTGAGAAAGCAGGATGAGGAGAAAGGGAAGCAGAGACATGATCAAGTGGGCAGGGTAGGGAAGGGGAAAAGAAGCAGGAGTTAAGGCAGTGGAGGTGCCCAAGTTGAAAGTGATGGATACAGAGGTCAGAGGTGTGGGATGTGATACGTAAGTAGCAGTCAAGTACAACATTCCTTGTTTTCCTAGAGTGGACATGCAGGGGAATGTTATGTCCAGCCAGTCGAAAACTTCCTGTCTCCTCCTGGCTAGGAGATGCTTCCTTTGCATGTGACTAGAGGTGGATGTGACCTTGTGTGTCCAAGTAACAAAAGCGCAGGGCATGCTACACTCTCTCTCTTTCTCTCTTTTGACTTCCTCCATCGTTGGAGCAGCTTTTTAGCTAGAGATGCTCTGTCGGCTTCCAGCCAACAGAGGACACTGGGATTATCCCCATATGGGATAGCTCCCCATGTATATACTGTACTTTGTAACTAAGTCTGCATTCAGGGATCCAGCTGTGAACTGAATGTGAGTAAACTACTTTTATTTACTTTACACAAGGTTGTGGCGTGTTTATTCTTTTAAGAGGGATATAAGGGAACTTACCAGGAACCTAATAGTGAGAGGCTTACACAAGCCTGCAACCAACTCCCCGCTGTGTGTTTAAAAGGGGAATGTGAAACTCTGCTAAGTAAAGGAACCTGCTAGCACAAGTTAAGAAGGATATTAATAAACAATATATCCTCTCCTGCCTCCCTGAACATTCCCACAAGAGGTCCATAGAAAGGAGGAATTGGGGGCTCTGGGAAGTAGGAATAAGGGGGCATGGGAAGTGGAACCAAGGAAGAGAACTGAATGAAGTAGGGGCTAAATTAAATGAGTGAGAGTAAAACTAGGTAGAAAACCCTATAAGTCATATATGGTTGCCAGGTTTCAAGGCAGAATAGTAGAATGAAACAGTATTCTACTCTGCTCATAAATTCCGATCAAGGTTAGCCTGAAAAAGAAGTCAGCATGGTAGACCAAAACAACTAGAGAGCCTCAAGATAAAACATTGGAAGGTTAGTCTACAAGGCTTTTGCTCTGAGCTCCTCTAACAACTCAAATGCTCCAGGATCCTTTAAACTCCCGGACAAACCAGCTGCAATGCTTTAGTTGGATACAAAATCCACAGGTTATGTGGCTTACATGAGTAGATCACACTTATGAAAGATCTCCAGGGGAAGAAATGGACAGATGCAGCCACTGGAAAGGAGGGAGTGTGGAGTTAATTCTGAAGTGACATGAGTGGTGTGTGGTCTTCCTTCACTGCCCATTGCAGGAAGTTTAATTGCAAGACAGGGAATATGCCCCAGTTGCTAAGGCAGCTGGTTGATGCCCCTTGGATTCTGGCACCTGCGAGGAGCAATGAAACTGCGCTCATGGCATGCATTGGAAAGACAAGGAGTGTCACCCCATTGCTCCACAATACATAATCTCATCCCCCGTTCAGGGAAATGCTCCTTCCTTGGCCCTCAGTGATGCTCTCCATAAGCATATCTGATTTGTTCATAGTGGGGGGAAATGGTATTCTTCAGCCAACAGCTCTCAGGGTAGCCAGCATACACTTCTTTAAATATATATATATATATATATATATATATATATATATGCAATTTGCAATCAGATGTAAAACATTATAGCAGAGCAGTCAAAAGACTGACACCAGCAGAAGCAATAAAAGCTATCAGATTAAAACCACACAGCTGATATGCAAGGAAGACTAGGCTAATAAAAAGGCTTTGGAAAGATACTGAGTACCAGGTGAGCCTCCCTGGGAAGGGTGCGCCAAATGTGGGGAACCAAAACGGGAAAGGCCTGCGCTTCAGCCCCCATCTTCGGAACATAAGAGGGCAGGAGGGTGCACTTCTCTGCCTGTGGATAAACTTGCATAACTTTAATTATGGACCACTTATAAATGCCATCTCCAACTCAAAAGATTAAATCAATGGTGTCTCCAAAAATTTTCACATATCCTTTGGGAAGACAGGTGAACTAATGTCAGTGTACTGGAAGAAGCAAAGATCACCAGCAATGATTCTTCACCATCAACTTCGTTGGTCTGTTTGGATGCCTGATTATCGTCTTCCAAAGCAGCTACTCTATTCTGAACTTAAAAATGGAAAGCGCAATGCTGGTGGTCAACAAAAGAGGTTGAAAGACTCGCTCTCAAGGCAAATCTAAAAAACTGTAGTATAAACACTGACAACTGGGAAACACTGGCCTGCGAGAGCTCCAATTGGAGAACAGCCTTTACCAAAGGTGTCATGGGCTTTGAAGACGCTCAAACTCAGAATGAAAGGGAGAAACGTGCTAAGAGGAAGGCATGCTTGGCAAACCATCATTGTGATCAACTCCTGCCCAGAAACCTATGTCCCCACTGCGGAAGGACATGTGGATCCAGAATTGGCCTCCACAGGCACCTACGGACACATCGTTAAGATTGTGTTCATGGAAGACAATCTTATTTGGCTACGAGTGATCACCAAAGAATAATAATACTATTAATAACGTATTATTTTAATATTGTTGAAGGAATTAATGGACTTGGCCCCCACTCCTTCGAGTTCTAAGCCCATCACTTCCTTCAGCCACCAGTATGAACTAGCAACAATTCCATGAAGCAGACCTCAATTTCTCAATGGAGAAAAAACTTTTTCAGGTATTCCAAACCTGTTGAAGAATTTCCCCCACCGCCAGATAATATTCTAAATATTCTGCAATTCTTTTGCACACATTCTCCATTCACAAAAAAGGATGGAGAATTTTGGGGAGGCTATTTTTTCGCCCAACTCTGAACTTGTTTAGAGGACAAAACAGTAAACCAGCTTCCTTGACGACCCATGGAGAACTTTCAAACACTACCCTTGTCTGGCTTCAGCTTCAATCTGTTAAGCCATAACTGCCTGACCACAGCTTCCATACATTCATTCAGGATACATATAAAAACTCTGCTCTGTCCTGAATCTTCCAACCATCATCTTCATTGGATGGTGTGAATGGGTTCAAGTATTATGAAAGGGGGGAGAAATTCTCCACATTCACTATGCATAATCTTATGCAAGTTTCTATTATATTGCCCCTTAAATTACCTTCTTTCCTCAATTAAAAAGCTCCAAATGTTGTAAACGTTTCCTCATGTGGGAGTTGCTCCATCTGTTTGTTCATGTTGGTTGCCCTTTTCTGTATCTTTTCCAGCAACAAAACACCATTTTTGAAGTGATGCAGCCACAGCTGTACATAGCATTCCAACGAGGTTGCCCCATAGATACAGTATGTATAATGGCAGTACCCGCATGCAAATATTGATAAAAGTATAGAAACCAAAGCCATAGTTCCAGTTCTTTGTCCATCAGTGAGAGACAGGAAGACTTGGTGGTCTTCTTCCCTATCTAGTGAGACATCCATAGTCCACCTGATATGCAATGCATTACAGTAGAAGCGTCTTGGGGAAATATACCATTAATCCCATGAGAATTAATGGGTTAAACCACAGAGCCTAGGACTTGGCGATCAGAAGGTCAGCGGTTCGAATCCCTGCAACGGGGTGAGCTCCTGTTGCTCAGTCCCTGCTCTTGCCAACCTAGCAGTTTGAAAGCACGTCAAAGTGCAAGTAGATAAATAGGTACCCCGCCGGCGGGAAGGTTAACAGCGTTTCCATGTGCTGCTCTGGTTCACCAGAAGCGCCTTAGTCATGCTGGCCACATGACCCGGAAGCTGTACACCGGCTCCCTCGGCCAATAAAGCGAGATGAGCGCTGCAACGCCAGAGTCGTCCACAACTGGACCAAATGGTCGGGGTCCCCTTTGCCTTTACCTTACCCATGAGAAGACCCTCCCTGGTCTGTTGCTCTACCCCCTGTACAGTGCCATTAGGTTTGTTGACTAGATGAGAGCAAAGTCATCTCCAGGTTTTGGAGGACCTTTGGGCAATATACCCTCTGTGACCCACCTTCTGTGTCTCCCTGTTTGTTGCAGCAGGTCTAGAGCACCCACTGGTAAGGTATGGTTTGGGCCCTTTGTAGATGCCCACCCATGTCACCATTTGATGCTGAAATAGCTGCAATAGGCAGAAATGATGTTCAGCTTGCACAGCACAACCAATCAGGGAAAGCGTTCTGATACTTACTCTGTCCTCCCATTTTGTGTAGGACATCATAGGGGGAAAAGGTTAAGCTGTAAGTACACCTGCCAGGAGTAAGAGGAAATTCATTTCTTTCATTTATATCCTGTCTTTCCTCCTTTGAGCTCGAGGAGACAAACATGGTTCTCTTCCCATTTTGTCCCCAGAGCAACCCTGCAAGATTGGCTGCACTGAGGAATAGCAATTGGCCCAATAACTCAGCTAAAGAGGTGCTTGAACCCGGCTCTCTGAGGTCCTAGTCATTCAAAGGTGAACCTACCTAATTCACATGCTTGAAATTCAAGCTTCTCTGAATTTTGTAGTGAATTTTGCAGAGCCAAGTAAAGCATACAAAAATGCATATAATTAGGTAAGGTGTGCACAGAAATTCATACCTAAGTGAAAATAATATAGAGAGGTGCATTATTTTAGAGACCTCCGCTTTGCAAAAAAATGTGTATATTGGGCAAAAATGCATACAAGCAGGTGTATCTGATGTATCGTGTGTTCTTTATGTTCTGTTGGAAGTTGCCCAGAGTGGCTGCAGCAACCCAGTCAGATAGGCGTGGCACAAGTTATTATTATTATTATTATTATCATTATTATTAGTTCACACTAAAATGCTGATGAATTTTCAAGAGGACTTATTTGGAAAGAAATCGCAACTGATGTCGAATTGTGGAGAACTGAACTTTAGATCGAAAACGAAAAGGAGAAATGAAGAGGAACCAGAATTGACAGATCCATCCAAATCCATATTCCCGGTTGCGAGTAGAAACGGAATGTTACTTCTGAAAAAGCTTTGTGTCTGTGTGTGTCTTTGTATACACGAGTACGTTTTTGTTCATTGCTAAGTAGGCTACCTTCATGTGACAACATTTGACTCAAAGGTCCTTAACACCAAACAGAAAAACACACAAGTAATTTTCATAGAAATAAAAGTCATGGCCTTCCTGTCCAGCCATGCCTTGCCAATTCTTTGGCCACATCTTCTGGAGATGTTTTCATCCAGGAAGGAGGCAGGAGAGGCAGAGAAAAAGGAAAGAATGAAGGAGCCAGGACAGGATAAGGATGTGCAGATGCCACAGAGGAGGGGAAAAGCCTTGCGTCTTTAATCGCGGCATGGTAGCAAATAACAGTGCTATCATTTGGAATATTCATTTTGACGCACGGCAGCGATGCGGCGATGGGGGGAAGCCTTCCAAATCCTCCCTCTCACAAAAAGCAAGCAACCGTAGAAGCGTCCGGCCTTCCACCACATGGGGGGTCACCTGAGGAAGAGGTGGAGCCCCAGGTGGTCACCACAAAGTCGTCATCGTCCCCCCACTGCCAAGCACTGGCCTGTCCCTTGTTCATATCAGCCTTTGAGCAACAGCTGACCATACATAGCCAGGGCCTAGTGATGCCATGGGATGGACCGCGAGTGGTAAGCCGAGTGGGCTCTTTATTTGGCCTAGCTAAAAATAGGCACGTCGGGCTGGTGGAGGGCGGAGGGTGGGGGTGGGGGGAGGAGAAGAAGAGACAGAGAGAGAGAGGGTAAGGGGGGGTATACAAAAAGAGGCAGAGTCAGGACCCTGCAGGGCTAGTAGTCAATGGGCTGAGAGCAGGGATTGAACTGCAAATACTCCCCGCTCGGCCATCCCCAGCTGGCAGGCTATTTTTTGCCATGGTTGACTAAATATGGTCAGGGAGGGAATGGCAGGGGAAGGGGCCACTTGCCTCGAGTGCATGTTTCAAATGCTTCACCGGGTATATAAGCACTAGAAAGGTGGACTCATTTCCTGATCAGCTTGCTTTGCCCTGCACCTCTCGAGTGCGTGCAGATTCCCCCCCCCTCAAATCTCTCTCTCTCCCCCCACCCCAAATCCTCTTTCCTTTCTTTTGTTCCATCCTGACCTCTACCTCAGGCTGACCTTTCGGGGAAGGGCAATTGGGGTGGGTGGGCAAAGCGAGAGGGTGTGTTGAGTGGGGGGGAGAGAAGAGAGAGGAATAGAGGGCAGGAAAGACTTCTGGAAACAAGACAGCCTTCCCCCCCACCCCACTTGGAGGTGTCCGACTGCCTGCACATGGGAGGTTTCTTCTTCTTCTGAACTCCTGCTGCTCACCCTTCTCTTCCTGCTCTCTCTCTCTCTCTCTGTTTCTCCAGCCTCAGCTGTAAGCTTGCAAGCCTTCCCCTCCCTCTCTACCTTTAACCGGAGATGCTGCAGGAGGAATAGTGATGTAGTAGTAGTGCCTGTTGTGGGGTGAGGTGGGGTGTGGGGTGTGGGTGTTTCTGTGTGCGAGAGGAGAGAGGGTGGAAGATGGCTGGGGGTGGGGTGGGGTTGCCTCAATTCTCTCTCTCTCTCTCTCTCTCTCTCTCTCTCTCTCTCTCTCTCTCTTCAAGTGAGGTCTAATACCATTACAGGGCCGCACTTTCTCCCTATCCCCTCCTGCATTAGAGATTAGCTTTAAGGAAAAGGCTGACGGCTGCTGCATGCAACGCATTATTACCTTGTGATTCCATGACCCTCCTCTATGCATCCCTAACTCTCGAAAGCTGATTCAGCTTTCAGCTAGTGCTCTGGTGACTTCCACTGCTGCAACAGAAAATCTTCTAACTGGTATGTCTTTTTTTTTTAAATTCCCCCTCCCCCTTTTTGCTATCTGCCTTCCCCTCTTTTCTCTCTCTCTCTCTCCCTATTTCTTTCTCTCTCCCCCCCCTTCCAACTGCACCAAGCTTAGCTTTGTTTTAAAGAGACCTGCTGCAGGACTCTCCTTGTGCATGCATCCAACTTGCCTCTCTCTGTGTGCACTTAAAATGCATGCTTTCTAGATCTGGCAGAAGGGGCATAATCGGTGCATGCTTTCAGACAGGGGGTGGGTTAGCGTTAGGGCATTTTTCAGATTCTTTCTTTTCTCTCTTCTGTCCCTTCCCTTCTTTCCTCTTGTTGTTGTTATTCTATTGCTGTAGCACACACTCCGCATTTTTTAAAAAAAGCACAGGGAGAGGGGGGGGGCTAAACTGCAGAGCAAGCAGTGGACTAGAATAATCGGAACTGAAATGCTAGAACTTTGACATGCAGTCATTTTGCAAGGTTAAACCAACCTTTTAAATGCCTCATTCAGATATGAGCCGGCTAATGACAGCTGGGGAAAGTGGTGGTGCGGCTGGGGGGGGAGGGGGGAGGAAGAGAAATCTTTTGATATTAAAAGCTAGTGGCTGTAAGCTGTAATGATACTGAGCCAGGGGAGGGAAAAAGTTGGGGGAGGGAGAAAGAGAGAGAGAGAGAGAGAGAGAGAGAAGAGATACAAGGTGGTTAAACTTAGCCTAACTTGCCATGATCTTAATGCTGCGGTGATTAACCATTGAAATGCCAAGGTTGTGATCATTAATTACCTGTGCATGATTTATGGGTAATCAAAATGGGAGGTTGAGGTGAAGGGAGAAACGCCCGTAGCCAGGAAAGGTACATTGGTGAGGCAAAGATACAGAAATGCAAGTTACACTTAAGAGCACCTCCTAGGTAGTTTTGGGTTTTTCTTCTTCTTCTTCTTCCTTGGCCTTGAAGATGATCTTTCGTATGGGGAGTCAGATGGCACCCCATGCATACTTTTAAAGTCACACAATAACCAAGAATGCACTGTGGATTTGATGTCGAGGATGTAAGTGATCATCTGTATAAATACCTAAAAAGCATGTGCAGTGTTTAATGCTTCAGCGCCACAGACTTAAGACTACTTTTGCAAAAGGAGGCGAGTGCAGGATCACTGCCTCCACAGAGAGAGTGTTTTCATGCATATGTATTTGTGTCGCCATAGTTGTGTGTCTGTTATCTCAGCACACCGATATGCATGTGTTCCAGATCTATGTCTATATAATGACTACTTATTCCATGCGTTGTGGCTGTGATCTTTGGATCGTGCACCGGGGAGTAGCCCCATCCACTCCAGCGGGACTGCTCCTGAGTTAATGCATGAAGGGATTGCAGCCTCTATCTCTCGATGTTCCCTCCCTCCTCTCCCCACCCCACATTTCTTCTTCTGTAGTGTGCTCTCTGTACATGTGTGCAAGAGGAAGAATGAATTCCTAACACTCAGCAATAATGTGCAATTGCGTAGTCAGAGAAGCTGTCACTGTAATTGCTCTGTTTCTCCAGAACTGGCTCTAGCATGCTTTTTCTTTCTTTCCCCCTTTTCTCCTTTTTGCTCAGAATACCATTGTTAACATTGAAAACCGAGCCAATCCAATAAGAAACAGGCACTCAATTTCAGGGCAGGTTTAGTAACCTTCCATTTCGCTTGCAACTTTCCCACCGGTTACTTTCCCTGGAATGTTGCACCTTTGGACGCAGATGGCCATTTTGCAAATATTGGAGGTTGGCAGTTCGGCTCTCTGGGGGTTGAGGAGCTAAGCTCTGAATGGAAGGTGGGCGTGTGGTGCCTTTATGCCACCACACCCACAAGGAGCCAACTCTCACCCTGACTTTAGTGTCTTCCTCAGCCCTTCTCCTTCTTATAATTATTGTTTTAAAAGAGAGAAAGTGTGCCTTTCTTCCCCAGATATTCTGCACACTCCTTCCCCTTCTTATCATGCAGGGTTTTCCCCACTATCAATGAACTGAGCACTCCAGATGAACGTGAGGAACTACACTTGCCCTCTGTTACCCTTGAGGGTGTGAAAATGATAAATAACCCTGACTAAATGTAAAAGCAGCAGCTGAGCTATATAATTCTGCTGTGCTAAAAGAAAAGGGAAAAGACCTAGAGACAAGCACTTTGGGCAATAATAAACCCTGTGCAAAGAGTGAACGTAACACAAATTGCCCATCTCTCCTCCCACTCCACAAAAGCACCTCTGCAACGGCAGCAAATGGCTACTGAATTAATCCAAAACCAGACTTGAAAACTTTGAGGTGACTTTTCTATGAAGCCTCTGTACTGCTTCATAAAGAGGAACTGTCGTCCCCTAACCCTTTTGCATCTAGAGGGTTCTGCTCTTTCCCTTTGCACTTTCGCAAAGGGAATTCCCCTAGTTGCCAATTAGCAAATGCTCCATTTGTGAGGAAAAAGCGGTACAGGCATGTAGGGAAGAGTCAGGGAGGCAACCAAGTGTCCCTTGCAGTAATTTTAAAGAGGGAGGGAGGGAGAGGAACAAATAGATAAATAAACACAGTGGGTTGTCGCCATCCACTTGTGGCTATTTTTTACGTGGCACTTTTTATTATTGGATTAAGGAGAAAGACACACGAAGGCCTCTGTGGCTCTGGATAAGAATGATTCTTTTCCCCGCCCCCCTGGGTAGTTGCTGCTGGGTTCTGAGCAAAGGACACGTTCTCGCTATCTCCATCTCAGTCAACTTAATTCCACTGCCTTGGTGCATTCAGACCAGAGGGAGTTCCCTTCCATTGAATCCAGACCGTAGGAAATTGGCCGCAGTTGAAATGAATACTTTTTGGGGTGCAGGTAGGGAGCGGGGAAGGTGTAGAAGAAAAGCTAGGGAAATGAAGGGATTATCAAATTGCTATATTGTTACTGCTTCTTTCTTTCTTTCTTTTTTAAAAAGAATAGTAGTAGTAGAAGATATTCAAACAGAAATGATGCAATGTATCTGAGCAAGACAAAACCACTCTCCTGCCTTGGCTGACTTGTGGAATGAGGGTGCCTGCTTTGCTGCTTAATAATAATAATAATAATAATAATAATAATAATAAATATACCACTGATTTGAAGATTCTGGAGAAAACGGGGATGCTTAACAAACACAACTGTGTTTTTTAAAAATGCACCGTGGAGGTTGTGAGGGTGGGGTTGCAAAGACCCATCAATACAATTAAGTATTCCAAAGTGCTTAGTTTGCCACTTGCTAAGTTTACTTAAACCCTCTTTAAAGGGTTCATTAGAAGACTGTGAGAAATGGTAAAATTCATTAACATTAAGGCAGCCGTTCTGCATTTGCCTGTAAATTGGTATTGATCTGCATGGCTCAGGCTGGTGGCAGGGAGGGAGGAGGGAGGGAGAGAAAGAGAGAGAGAGAGAGAGAGAGAGAGAGAGAGAGAGAGGTAGCCGTCAGATGGAGCAGGTGAGTGGGCAAGCAAAGCGCACCATTACAGCAATGCTGAACGAGCATTATGCACCCAGTGTGACCTCCTGCTTTGCTGGATGTCTAAATCCTGCTCATAATAGTCTCCTATTCAGTGCACTCGTCATTCTCAGTGGTGCTACTCGGACCTCATTGTTAAGGGGGCTTTAAAGCTCAGAGTGGCTGTGAGGTAACCAGTGATGAGAGAGAGAGAGAGAGAGAGAGAGAGAGAGAGAGAGAGAGACCGCCTGATGCAGGAGGAAGAGGCAAGGTTTCACACACATGGAGACTCACGCATGCACACACACACACCCTCACCCTCCGAGGAGCAGCTCTTCCGACTTCCACTCCGGCCTACACTCAACAGCTCTATCCACCCATCCACCCATCCACCTTGGGCTTCTCCTGTTCTCTGCCTGTCCTCAGGTCTATTTTGGGCATCCTCTAATGTCACAAAGTTCAACCAGAAGATACTTTAGAGGGGGGAAAAACTCTTCTCTGCTGCCCCCTCCACACCAAAAAAAGAGAGGGGGGACTCCAAGGGGGGGAAAACCCCCGAGCCCTTTCCTTTTATGGGTTTCCTATCCTTCAGGCTGAGACTCATTTACGGTGACCTACAAAAAGGGGGGAAATTATATCAGTGGACGCCTGAGGTAAGAAAGAAACTCCCTCCTTTTTCTTATGTTTTTTTGCGCTGACTAAATGGGGGGGGGATCTATCCTGTGTTTGAGTGTGTGAGCTTTTTCCTTCTTTCGTTCTGATGAGCTGTCTTACACCCGTTGTATGGAATGTGTTGATTTCTTACGTATATAAAGTGGACTCTTTGGTTTTTATCTGTGGATGTGCTGAACATTTTTGTTTAAAAGTGTGTTGTGGGGGTGGGGAGGAGGGAGTCAGCACTGACTGTATTTATATATAATATGCCGACAGGGAAGGAAGAAATATGTTCTACTTGAGTGCGTGTGCAAAGAAATTAAACCTTTTCTTCACTCCCTTATAATGTGCATTGGGCATATTTATGATAGCTGAAAGTTTCTAGACTATGGTTTTAAAAGGGGGGAAAATCCTTCTTGAGGTGTGTGGATTTGCAAATCTGTGCTTGCTTTTGGATTAACACAGACAACTGTTTATAATTGCATATTGCTTTTTTTTTTTAAAGAAATAAACTGTGCCACTATGTGGGGAAATTAATTGTTGCAAAATTTGCTTGAAAACCCCATTTTTGCACACTGTATTGTCCTGTCCTGTTCTTGTGGGGGGAGGAGGGGTAGAAGGTGCCTCTACAGAGGTCTCTGTGGATGGTCAGAGATGAGTCAGAGGCAAGGTAGGTGGACATCTCTGTCTGTGTAAGCTGGCAGCTGGTGGGATGGGATGGGGAGGTGAGGCGGAGACGCCTGCTCTTTTTCAGACCTCCTTGCGCTGTGGATTCTACCTGGCGAGCCTCTTAGATGCCCATCCCGAAAACTACCTGCTTGAGAGACATACTTCTTTATATGCCCATATGAACCTCGCAAACTATGGAATGTAAAGAAGTATGTATTTCAGGTACGGACCTTCGCAATGGCGCTAATGTGGTGTGTGCATGTGTGTGTGGATATCTTAAAAGAGAGAGAAAGGTTTGCTCTTTTTTCTTTCTTTCTTTCTTTTTAATTTAATGCCTGACATGGCAGACTGACTGGGGAGTCAATTGATGGTCGTGTTCCAGCGCATGTATTGTTCTGTCACTTTGCCTGTGTCAGCAGGTGGAAGTGTTCATCAGGAGGACATTAAATATTCAATATGCTGACTGCGGTATGGGCTTTGAAAGGCAACGGCAGAGGAAAGCTCACTGTCCACTTCTGTGGGCTCTCGGTCTCTTTTCCAAAGCTCTCTTTTCCTTAAAGAAGAAGAAGAAGATGAAGAAGAGGGAAAAGAAGCAGGGTTAGGGGGCCTCCTTCCTCGCCTGCTTGCAAGGCTCCCTTTCCACATAGAAGACAGAACTCAAAATCCTATAGGAAAGAAAACACACCCCAAATCTATATGTGCGGATATGTACATGCGTCTTGCGTGACAGAGGCATATTGAGCAACGGGACGGCTTTGGAAACACGGATGGCATTTTTAGGGCTAATCGGAGTTTGGAAACTTCCGCCTTTGCTGGGTTTAAAAGTTATTTTTGTTTCAGCCTGTAAAAAGCAGATTCATACCGACCTCTTCTGCTTTAGAATGTAGGATATTGAATAGGTGCATGATTACACACATGCCTCTTATTTTAAGAGGGTGTGGGCATATGTGTGGTTCAGGCAGGTTTTCCCATCTATTCCATTGGTATTTTGGGGGGTTTTGGTATTTAAAAAGGATATAGTCAGGGGTCGACAGAGCTTTGCAGCTATATTTGTCACCACAACACATTTGCAAAATTTTTATTTTTTTAAAAGAGGGATGTCAAAAGGTCTGAATGCTTCTTGCTGGGCCTTTGATATTATGACTCTCTTGTCTGTTTAATGTCTTAACACCTGTCCGCCACAACCAAAAAAGGACCCCTGTCATATGCGATAAAATTCCTAAAATCCTCAAAGAACTGTATGTTGTGAATTGAATCAAGTGACAGGCCCCACTGTCCACCTGCCCCTGGTGTGACACATTAACTCTTCCTTAACTTATTTCACTGGTGGCACCGTACTGTGTTCTCAAGTGGAATGCCTGCAGGTCTGACGTCAAGTTATTCTTAGTTTGCCAAGATGCTGCACGCCACACAGCCATCTGACAAGCCATGAGAGTCCTGATGTCTTGATTCCTCTCCCCCCCCCCCCCGCCCCATTTCTGAGATGCTGATCAAGCAGCAGACAGATGCTGTCTTTGGAAACCTTAGCTCTGTGCGTTGTTTGGTGCTGCTAAAAGAGAAAAGCAGGATTTTGAAGGGCATCCTTCCCCCCCACCCTCCCCCCAAATCCTTCCCCAGATCTACTCAATGGAAGTCCCATTGTCACTTGTTACATGCTTATGTGGAAGGGGATTTAAGTGGATCGCAGAAACTCGATGATAAGTGGGTGTTGGTGCTGAAATTAGATAAATGTTTCCCCAAATACACCAGAAGTGGGTTTTATCTTGTAGTTCAGTCAACAAATATTGTGAAAAGGCTTCTTTCTTTCTTTCTTTCTTTCTTTCTTTCTTTCTTTCTTTCACTCCTTCATCCCTCTCATTCTTTTGCAAATTCTGTATCGATGATGTGACTGCAGAAATAGTGAGGCTGGTATCTCTAACGGCGGCCAATCAGATTTTGTTTAATGCACTGATTTGGATGAGAACATGAATTTGGGCCGGAGCCAAAGCTCGAGCTACTGCAGAGATCTAGAAAGTACATTTCTTTCTTTCTTTTCTTCTTTTTAAAAAAATGTTTTGATGTGTTGGCAGTGGACCAGGGAAGGCAAATGGCCTTGCTGATCCTGGCATCATGTGCCCTTTGCTCTTTAGGAGAATCCCACTCATGCCAGCCTCTCTGGAGCCTACAACAGGTGGAAGAGGGAGCAGTAATCTGGGTTAACGCTAGGCTGCCAAAAGCGGTGACCTTTGGCTTGAATAGCAAGTTCTCACTCTAAGTTTAGGGAGCTAAATTGGCAAATGGTGGTGGAGGCTGCAGGAGAGGGGCAGAGACGAGAGAGCTGACTCACAGTCTTCCATCTACTACCCTGCTTTCATTCTTCTAGCAGCTTCAGGAAGGTCTAAGGCGAATTGCATGTGGCCAAGCCACCATTTATATATCTCTCTCTCGGAGAGGCATGAGTTGTCTATCATAAAGCGGGAGGGCATAAACCCTCCTCTTTTGAAATCTAGGGACTGTGGTTGTCCACAGTGGATTGCCCCATTTTAAAAGTCACAAATGGCCCCATTTTCTAAACAAATCAAACCACCCCTTTCTTGAGCAAGCTGGGCACTCTTGACTAGATACACCACTTACTTCCTTGCCATTGACCCACTCTGGAGAAAATTAAGCACCTTATTAATAGGGCTTAATACTCAGGGGCGGTTGATCCTGTTTTGCCGCCTGAGGCAAAAAAAGAGAAGTTGTTGTACATGATGTGCACCGCCTGCCTGCCCTATATTGAGATCCTGGCCCAAAGCCTTGCTTACCGGGGTTGTGTGGCTTCCAGGTTCAGGTTGTGTGGCTTCCTGCAGCTTCCAGGTTCAGGGGAGATCACAGCAGAACCCCTTGAGAGCCAGTGTGATGTAGTGGTTAAGAGCTGTGGACTTGTAATCTGGTGAACCGGGTTCGCGTCTCCGCTCCTCCACATGCAGCTGCTGGGTGACCTTGGGCTAGTCACACTTCTCTGAAGTCTCTCAGCCCCACTCACCTCACAGAGTGTTTGTTGTGGGGGAGGAAGGGAAAGGAGATTGCGAGCCGCTTTGAGACTCTTTAGGGTAGTGATAAAGCGGGATATCAAATCCAAACTCTTCTTCTTCTTCTTGAGACTGCACAAAGGCCTCCACGAGATCGCATGGGGCTCTTGCAAGATATCACCGGAAGCGGGAGTCCCTTGGATTCTGCCACCTGAGGCAGATGCCTCAGTCTGCCTTGTGGATGAGGCAGCCCTGGCTACACGTGATATGGAAATAGGACCTTCTGATTTTAGGGCAAACTAATTTGTGATCTACTATGGTGGATGCAAAACACCCGCCTGGCACAGTGGCCCGCCCAGAACTTTGGGTTGTACCTATTTTAGTGTTAAGTATTGTGTTCAATAAGTGGAAGTATTTCTGGAACTTGCCCCACCTTCTTTCCCCAAGCATCCTCTCCCCACCTGCCCCCTAAATCAGGCATAGGCAAACTAGGTCCTCCAGATGTTTTGGGACTACAACTCCCATCATCCCTAGCTAACAGAACCAGCGGTCAGGGGTGATGGGAGTTGTAGTCCCAAAACATCTGGAGGGCTGAGTTTGCCTATGCCTGCCCTAAAGAGTACCAGGTTTTCCTCCGACCATCTGGAACAGATTTGGGACGGGCTAGGACATGCATGAGGACAGGAGACGGGGGAAGTTTCACAGAACAGAAATCATTGGACTGATGGGACATTTTAGTTGGATACCACCCTTTTTCTCTGTCTTTCTCCCTTTCATACACACATATGCATGTGGATCAGTACAGGCCTTAATTTTGAAGAAGACTTACTTCCAATAAAAGAAAGCACAGATCCAAATAATTTAATGGTTCTTAAGACCCTCCTCAATTTTTTCCAAATTGTGCCTATAATGTGGAAGTAAGGTCCAATAATTTCAGTGAGTTTTCTTACTAGGTAGATTTGCATAGAATCAATAATAATGTTTGGGATTTATATGGTGTGTGGGTTTGTTAAAAACACTACAGGTGCATGACAGCAGTTTTAGTAAGGCAGGTTGGAATATCTTATTGCATACGGGAAGGTTGAAGTACAGAGTGAGTAGCTTGCCTACGATTGCCTAATGAGATAATTTAGGGGGCAGAGGGGGGATTTAAGTTAAGGCAGAAAAATGACGAGTTGTATTAAAGTCATCTTTTGTGTCGACAAACTGAAATAAACGGGGTTGAGTTAATCAAGCCCACTGATTTCTATGGGCCTATTCTTAGTATGGGGACGCGGGTGGTGCTGTGGGTTAAACCACAGAGCCTAGGACTTGCTGATCAGAAGGTTGGCGGTTCGAATCCCAGCAACGGGGTGAGCTCCCGTTGCTCGGTCCCTGCTCCTGCCAACCTAGCAGTTCGAAAGCACGTCAAAGTGCAAGTAGATAAATAGGTACCGCTCCGGCGGGAAGGTAAAAGGCTGCTCTGGTTGGCCAGAAGTGGCTTAGCCATGCTGGCCACATGACCCGGAAGCTGTACGCCGGCTCCCTCGGCCTATAGAGCAAGATGAGCGCCACAACCCCAGAGTCAGCCATAACTGGACCTAATGGTCAGGGGTCCCTTTACCTTTTATTCTTAGTATGACTTAGCTGGATTTAACTTTAGGATAGATTTGATCCAGCTAAACTGGTTTGTATTCAAATTCTATAACTCTGTAGTTCTGCATAACCCCTTAGAACATATACCGTACATATTGCTGGTTTCTTTCCTCCAGAAAATGTTTATTTCTTCTTCCCTGAAGTCATCTGCTACTGATAGAGGAGCAGACCTTTGAGCCTGCTAAACTATTTCAGGGCGATAAAAGACCCCTAGTCCCTGCTTAGCATTAACATTTTATGGGATGATGTGGTGTTTAAAATTAAAGCATTAGTGTTTTGGAATTAGCCTTGGCAGAGCAGTAAAATGATATTTCCTAGGCTTAAGTTTGCAGCTTTCCCTGGGCTATAAATCACCGACATTTGTCTGGGCACACTAAATTTAAAAAAGGGACAAATGCTGTCACTATCGCAAATATAAAACGAGACTTATCCCTCTGGGACACACCTTGCTTTGGGGGGTGGGAATCTGCCTGTTGTTCCATGAGATATAGGTGCAAAATGTTTGAAAAGGAGGAAAACTGCAGAGCTCTGGACTTCTGTTGTGTAGAGTGCTGAAAGACGTCCATTATGTTCTTCATGAACTGCAATTATTCTGGAATAAGGGACAATCCTTTCAGGGGACCTCTCTATGCACCCTAGCTGATGGTCACATTTCCCTTTTAACGTGGGTTTCACTGACATATTCATTTCGCTTTTTTTAAAGGATTGCTCGATTTCCAGGGCTGATTTACTTGAGCGAAATGCATCTTCAATGCCATTTTGATTTACTTTTAATTCTCTCCCCTCTGAATTAATATGCTTGTTAATCAAAGGGAATTGCATTAGGAAGTGAGTAACTAAACCATGCAGATTTAAATGTGTATGTAAATATGTTGGCAGCTGCAAATTTGGGGGGCTTGCCTTTTTAGGTGTTTTAACAACTGAGTTAAAGAGGATGGAGGAAGGAAGCCTGAAAGGTGTAATTAGGTAGAAAACATTTTTAACAGAAGCCTGCATGTATTGTGTGTATTTTTAATTTAGTTTTCTGGCCCTCTAATTATGAGCTTTTTTTTTTAAAGGGATGCATTAGGATGAAATTGAAAAAAATAAATACAGGGTAACTTTAAAACAAATGTTCGGAATGGATTGAACCGAAGTGAGGTTTTATCATTGTCTTTAATGGCCCATTTGGGGGGTTTGCATTTCTTTTTATGACTTCCGTTGTAGATCTGCTGATCTTACCTCATTGGATTTCCTCCCCCCCCCCTTTTGCTGTTCAAAATGCAGCTGATTTCCAAACTCCTTCCCCTGTGAAATAATTATGAGAGGAGCCACTCAGGAAAAAATAATGGAATAAAGCAAACAGGCAAAAGACAGGCACCTAGTCCTGCTCACTTTATCACGGGCGTCGTTCCTGAAGTTCTTTGGCGTGGCTCAGCCGCGCGAGGCAAGTCATTCCATCAGGACAAGTTGAGAAATTCGAGAGCTGTCATCCAAACAGCTAAGCGAGGATTTTGTTTTAAGAGGCAGTTGTGAAAAACAGTAGCTCCGAGGATTGTAAAAAGCCATAAATCCACTGAACCAAATTAGTTACATTTTCATACTCTATGCCCCACAAAATCCAGACTTTTTTTAGGAAAAAAAAAGAATAAAAAAATAAAATCCATAAATGAACATTTTACATGTAAGGTTGGAGGGGGAGAGAGTCCTTGAATATACAGTGGCTATTTTGCCGGCTTTTCGGTGCAACTTTTTGAATGGTTTTGTTTGCTTAAGCTGACACAATATGTGTGCAGACGTTTTTATTTCTTCTTAGCCCTTGGGAATCAGGTGACCAGATAAATACACTTCCACACCCTGTTTCTAAATAAATAATAATAATAAAGAAGATGGCAGCTTGCAATTGAAGTTTAATAGTGCGTTCATCAAGAGCAATAAAGCATTTTATTGCGCAAGTATCTCTGTGCATGCGCCGGCCTGGGTTTTGTTTTTTTTTTTTTAAAAAAAACAAGCCTAAGAAAGGAGTGCATCAGCAGTCTTACTTAAAACTGTCGACCAAATGTGAAAAATGTTGCATTGAGGACTAAACTGCTATTAAGCATGATTAGATTGACCTGAAGGACAGATATTTTAGCTGCTGCAGCATAAGTCGATCACAGTGAGCATCGCTTGGATTGCATGTGCGCGTACACAGACACACAATAAATTAATTTTATAATGAAAGAAGCTTGGAATGTTTAGGTCTTTGAGGATTGGGGGGGGATATCTGTGTCTTTCTTCGAAGGGGGAAAGGATAGTGTTGTTTTCTTTGGAAAAGAGGTGTCTGGTGTTTTTTTGGGGGGGGGGGTTGTAGGGATGTATTAATTGCTGCCACTTTAGCAGAAATGGAAAATGTGGGACTCAGACCAACCAATCAAAAAGGAGGGGAGGGGGGGAGAATTGTGCTGACTCAGGGTTTGGGCTCGCGTGCACGTTTGGTTGCAGAATAGATCAGCACTGCAGTGCAGTGAAACTCTCTGCTCTGGAGTCCAACTTAACTGGGCAGGGCTTCCCTCGTGTTGAGACAGGTTGAGGAAGAGGAAGGCCATACGAAAGGACAGGACTCCACCCACCCGCCATTAATGTCTTGGTTCATATCCTTCCTCCAAGCTAGCAGAGACTGTGGCTTTGATGCAAGCCATTCATACGTTGGGGCGGGGGTGGAGATGGCATGGCTTTAAAGGACATGGTTTTATCACGTGGTGCATTTAAATCTTTTCAAGAAGACCAAACCATTGCTTGCTGTTTTCCTGCGTTGATCCCCATTTCCTCTGCCTTGATCCCGCCGAACTTTGCTTTTCAAACCGGTTAAGCTGCAACATTCAGGCAGAAACTGGTATGGCAGCAAACTAGTCCCATTAGTGTTTTCTTGCCTAAATAGTGTGCAGAATTTAGTCGAAATTTCATTTCAAACTGTCAGCTTTATAGGGCAGTGTGCAGGTTGCTTTTGAAGTTCATGAAGTCGTAAGAAAAAAAGCCCCCAAAGTCTAAAAACGACATTTAAAAATGTTTGCAATAAGATAAAAAGGATACATACTATTAGCGTACAAAGGTGACCTCACAATCTGCCATATCACTGACTTCCTATCATACCTTGATCCTAAATGTGTGACTAGATTTGTGGGTTTCATTTCTCAGTAAGTATGCTGAGGAAAGGAGGGTTAGTTTCTGCCTTTGCAAAAATGGATGATGGTGGTGCTTAAATTAAGCAAAAACCTAGACTCAGTGCTTGATTCTATTACAAATTAAAACACAGTGCATTCTAACTTTTGTTATCTGTCCTATGACTCTGTTTGGCAAGTACATGCTGACAATATTCAGTAGTTGGTAGTCCTCATATTGCACATTGATAAATGACTGCACTGTGAATTCGACGCACACAAAAAATTGGCCGGTGGAACTTGGAATGATAAGGCTAAACATTAGTTCACACTGATTTGCTGAATTACTTTAAAGAACCTGCAGCTCAAAATTTACTAGCGTGCAGGTATGCTTGGGGAATTCAGTTTCTGTGAAACCACCTGATTTGCAGCTTTTGGGTTGAAGTGTAGATGGGAACGTTGTTTATCCTTCAGCTTCTGCACCTGTCCAAATTGCTCAGTACAGGCCTTGGCTGAAGATGTGTAATTTAGAATAAAATATTTTTGGAAATGTGTACACCAAGATTAACTGCCTATTTAAATATGTATTTTGCGATAAAACACATATTTAAATATGATTTCTTGTGTATGTTTTCCAAAAATGCATATTAATGTGGGAATTGGATGGAATGAGCTTATTGGTGAACACGCATGAAACTGAGGCAGACCAGAAACAAACTGATCAGTCCATCTTGGATTCTGTAGTCATCTTTGTGATAACTAAGTTTCAAAAAGATCTTCCATGTGGCATGGGAAAACCATTTTAGCCAATCACCTAGCAGAATCCTCTGCCGATTCCCATTTTCTCCCTGTCTTCCCTCTCTGTCTCCTCCTGCCTCTCTGCTTTCCTTTCATTCCTTATTTCAAGAGCTTACATTCTTCCTTATCTTCTTCCTTTCTTTCCTCTGCTCTCCAATTTTTTGCCTCCACCCGCTTCTCCTTTTCTCCCGCTTCTAGAAGAGGAACAAAAATGTATCAATGGGACTCCTGCGCTGACTGTGTGAGTTCGCTTCTTTGCTGACCTGCGGATTCCCAGGCTCTAAATGAAAATGTTATGGGAAACGCTCGTTTTGCTGCTGGAAATGTCAGCTACGTGTCTCATCCAGCCCTAACCCCTCCTCTCTCTTTAACATCTAGTTAGGGAAGAAAGTCTTCCCTGCGTTGGGTGCTTCCTCCTGCAACACCAGCTGCTATTGACTGAAAGCGGGTGAATGCACTACATGTTCTCATACGATGCATTTCCAAATTATGGTATAGAGGAAGAGGGCACAGCGCCATTTTGAGCAGAAAATGCATTTCTACCACACGTGAGAACAGAAGAAGACCAGAGGTCCATCTAGTCCAGCGTCTCATGGTAGCCAACCAGATGCCTCTGGGAAGCTCACAAGGTGGACATGAGAGCAATATCACTCTCCTACTCAGTTGGATAGTCATTGGACATGCTGTCTCGATTCTTGGAGGTAGCATAGGGCCATCCTAACTAATAGCCATTGGCAGTTTCATCATCCTTGAATTGGGCAAATCCCCTTTCAAAGCCATATGTAATTTGAGTGTTCTCAGAGGAGTCACCGGTTGGACCCCATAAAATCTGTGGTTGTATCCAGTGCTGCTCCAACCCAGAGCAGACCCACTAAAAACAAGGAAGATGACTAACTTTTAAAAAAGAGAAAAGGTAAAGGACCCCTGACGGTTAAGTCCAGTCGCACTCTGGGGTTGCGGTGCTCATCTCGCTATACAGGCCGAGGGAGCTGGCATTTGTCCGCAGACAGTTTTTCCGGGTCATGTGGCCAGCATGACTAAGCCGCTTCTGGCACAACGGAACACTGAAACCAGAGCAGCACACAGAAACGCTGTTTACCTTCTCACCAGAGTGGTACCTATTTATCTACTTGCACTTTGACGTGCTTTCGAACTGCTAGGTTGGCAGGAGCGGGGACCGAGCAATGGGAGCTCACCCCGTCGCAGGGATTTGAATCGCCGACCTTCTGATCGGCAAGCCCCAAAGGCTCAGTGGTTTAGACCACAGCGCCACCCATGTCCCGATGACTAACTTAGGTCTGAGTAAAACTTGGTTGTAGTCAACCACTGGTGCCCAGTTTTCTATAACTTGGGTGGCAAGTGGTTTTATTTGGCCAAGCATTTCAGGAGAAATGTAGGAAGTTGCCTTGTACTCAGTCAGATCCTTGGGCCATTTATCCCAGCCCCTTAACCATGGTCCTTACCCCTAGCAGTAACTTGTGAGAGCTATGCTATGTTATTTGCTTGATTATGATCATGTGTTCAATCATTATTAATCTTTTTCGTTAGCTGCCTCACATGCCTTCGGTAGAAAAGTGAGGGGTATCAACTTCTGAAATAAATAATGGGATGATGGTGTAGATTCTCATCTGGTTATTTGGTAATATTATGGTGTAGTCCTTAGAAGCACCAGTTCTTGCGAGAGAGAAAAGGCAACTAGCTATTTCTAGGAAGACAATAGCAAATTATCTTATCATGATTTAATTCTGTTTGCGTGTGAGTTTTAGTTTATGTTATGTTGCTTAATAGCTCTGGATTGTCAAACTTTTCCTGGGACAAAGTTCAAAGGGCAAATTAGAAAAGGGGGAAAGATGAAATAACAGGCTGTATCCATCAGTGGCTTTGTACAAACAGAAAGTGCCTTTGCTTGGGCAAGGTAAAGGTAAAGGGACCCCTGACCATTAGGTCCAGTTGTGACCGACTCTGGGGTTGTGGTGCTCATCTTGCTATATTGGCCGAGGGAGCCGGCGTACAGCTTCCGGGTCATGTGGCCAGCATGACTAAGCCACTTCTGGCAAACCAGAGCAGCGCACGGAAATGCCGTTTACCTTCCCGCTGGAGTGGTACCTATTTATCTACTTGCACTTTGTGCTTTCGAACTGCTAGGTTGGCAGGAGCAGGGACCGAGCAACGGGAGCTCACCCCGTCGTGGGGATTCGAACCGCCAACCTTCTGATTGGCAAGTCCTAGGCTCTGTGGTTTAATCCACAGTGCCACCCAAGGCAGGGCACCCAATTTTTGGTGATTCCCCCTTTCTCAAAGCAGCCCTCTGTGTCATATCCCATAGTTCCCCAGTCACTAGGATCAGCTTTATTTGTGAGGGGGTTGCAGAAGGCTGCAGTGGATGAAGGTGGGAATGGGTGGAAACCAGGTGTCTAGTGTTTCCTGCTAGTACAATACCACCATTGGATGTAACCTTGTGCCCCAGATCTGTTTGCATTGATAATTTGTCATGGGTTCCTCCGCGGTGTTTGAAAGTACTGCATGATCACACAGGCTGCCTGACTAAGTCAGTGTACCTGGCTGTGCGATCCATACAAAATTTGCAGTAAATGTTCGATGCGAGTATTAGCTCTGAGGATAGGACTGCTAGACACAGACTGAGTCCAGAATGTCACAGCGAGACTGCTTCACACTTGATTACTCAGCTCTGGACAACTTGCAACTGAGCATTTTGAGCCAATTCAATTGAAAAGCATCATGCTTGAGGTGACATGAGGGGATATCAAAGTGATCTGGAATATTTGATCTGTGCTAATCAGGTGGTGTACAGTTGTGTGTGGACTGCGCCTAAATATGAGCAAAACCCGGAGAATGTATATGGGCATGGTACTGGCGGTGCAGCAGGCAGATTTTGTATATATGGAATTATAATTGTATTATAATAAGATAAGATGGTTATATGACATCTCCCATTGCATGTTAAGTTTGCAACCTTGTGGTATCAGCCATTGCTCCTCAGTGGAGAGTGAGCCTTTGCAATAAACAGATGTAAGGTGGACTAGACTTTGAGAAGCTTAAGATCTCAGATTCAGATCTGGCCATTCTGACATTACAAAGACTTGTATCACCAGTATTTTTTTGCCATGCGCCTTATAAAAACCGAGGCAGGGAAAAGTAATACAGAAAACTGACTCTCAAAACATATATGGTGGTAGTCTAGGGTGAGGGCAAGGAACCTCCTTCACAAAAGGAGAGAAAATCCAGAAGGGAAGGGGTTGGCAAACTTTAGCAAAGGGGCGAATTATCCATGGGGTGAGAAGAACTGACTCTCTTGTAGTTGCATCAGTCAGCAAGATGCAGTTTGGCTACATGCAGTTTTGCTCGCTTGTGCACAGTACAATAACCCTCCTTTTCACCCTGTGTCACTCTGAAAGCCAGGCTAATAGCATAATGTGCGATTTTGCTATATACGATGCACAGCCTGATTGTATGTTCCAGACAGATACAGATGCGTCAAAATCCATATCTTATTTTTATCTGGCCTTAGATCTCACAATTTCTTCCTTTCAGCAGCAAGCTTTTAGCGCATTATTGCAAGCTCCCTTTAACCAAATCCGGGCTCTTAGTCCGCATATCTTTATTTGCACCTGCTTAACAGAGCCACTCTCTGGAAAGTTGTTAGATATATGTACAAATATGGCATGTGAGGACCCCTCTTTCCTTCAAAATGGGAATGAAGTGGGTTGACAAGCAGTATTTAAACAGGAGGGGAAACATTACTTTCAAAGCAATTGAGTAGCAGGGAGGGATTTATTTTATTTGCAATTTCTTTTTTTTTGATAGACCAGTCCTTTATAAAAAATAGTGATTTGAGAGAAGGGAATCTATCTGTTTGTCTGTCTATCTCTCTATCTGTATTGTCAAGGCAACTGACATCCTGAACAGATGTTAGGTTTTTTAATAAACCCGGGTGTTGGATTTGCAAGTGTCTCTGTATGCCCAGATATGGCCAGTATTTGACAGAGCGTCTCACCCTATCTAAAAAAGCCCAGAGAGTCCCTCAGATGAGTCCAAAGGGGAGTATGGAACAGCTGATATAAATAGTCTTCATTCTCAGCTGCCCTTCTGGTGAAACTGTATTCAGGAGGCATCCGGGCATTCAAGTAGGGCAAGGCTGCCTCTTGATAACCGAGTGTCGAAGTGCAATGTGATCAGTGACCAAACAGCTGTGGGGACGGGAGCCACTCCTGCCAAGGCCTTACATAGGCAGATCAGCAGAGGCATTTCAGGGACTGAGGAATCCGGTGAGCTAACAGCGACCGAGAATAAAGTTCATTTCCAAAAGGACAGGACACCAGAGCCCGATTGTGAAAGTCACACGTTCTCAGTTGGAGCCTTGGGATGACCGGCCGTTCTTTTTTTAACTTCTTCGGCGGAGTCTTTGGAAAGAGCATAAGTCCAAGCAAAAGTTAAGCAGGGAAAAGGGAGGTGTGTGTGTGTGTGTGTGTGTGTGTGTGTAAGCCCTGCAGAAGTGACGTCAGCAAAGGAAGGTGCACAGACCCTGCTTCAAAGATAATCCTCTGCCTGCTCCATAGTAGTTGCAGTGGGACCCACGCAGGGGGGAGAAATTTAATTCAGTTCATATTTGAAGGTTAACTAACCCAGTTTGCACTTTCCCAAACAACTTTCTGAAACAACTGAAACGCTAGCCATCCTCTGAAATTTCCACTTGTCTGAATTTTGCAGCGCAGTTCTCCGGTCAACTAATGTGTACAAAAATGCATGTAAGCAGGTAAAGTGTGCAAAGAAATGAATCTATCCATGAAAATAAAATGCAAGCATGCATTATATTAATGAAAATTGCTTTGCAAAAACTTGCATTATATTAATGAAAATTGCTTTGCAAAAACGTGCATTATATTAATGAAAATTGCTTTGCAAAAACGTGCATAGGCAAAACTGCATGCAAAAATTATGTATATTAGGAGAAAACAGCGCTAACATGCTGAAGAATCTTCTTGAGGGCTTTAATACACACACACACACACACACACACACACACACACCACAAACTGATGTGGAAATGTGGACAACTGAAGTTAAGGGTGGGAAACAGAGAAGCCAAAATTGACAGATTTGCCCATCCCTGGCACCTTATCATGAGAAGGATGTGGGACTGGGCTGACCAGCCCTATGTTCAGAGGCAGCGTCCCACTGACTGCCAGTTGCAGAGGGCTGCTACAGTCATGCCCAATACTAGCCACTATCCCCCCTTGAGAAAACATTACGGCAAGCTGTTATTCAACCAGTGCTGTGGGTGGGTATCATCATCTCACCAGCACTAGGGTGTTCATTTCCAAGTGCAGGGCTGAAGGAGAAATGCTAACATGCAGCAGGAAATGTTGGTGAGGCCTGGGACTAAAGTTCTGGTTGAACTTCACCAACAGTGAGCTTCATAGGGCTTTGCTTAGGATGGGAGAAGTCTCACAAGAGGCTTTGAAGGATGCAAAAGGGCTAGTGAAATTTCCCAGGGGGAGGGAGGAGATTCTGCACATCTGTAAGCAGGAATCTGCCTGCCATGAAGTCAGACAAATGGTCCATGTAGACCAGTATTGCCTATACCAGGCACCCTCAAACTCGGCTCGCCAGCTATTTTGGGACTACAACTCCCATCATCCCTAGCTAACAGGACCAGTGGTCGGGGATGATGGGAATTGTAGTCCCAAAACATCTGGAGGTCCGAGTTTGGGTATACCTGGTCTACACTGAGTGCTGGCAGTGGCTCCCTAGGAATCTCCCAGTCCGACCAGTAGATAATGGGGATTGAAACTGGGACCTTCTGCATGAAAAGCAGATGTTCCGCCACTGAGCTATAGCCCTTCCTCCAAACAAGGCAGCCCACACAGGACATGGCTCTTAGCGAAGATGTCAAGGAGAGCTGTCACTGAAGGAAGGTAGCCCCATGGCTGATTTACGCGACTGACATTTCCTATGGATTTCTCGGCGTGTTCTCGGGCTGCTCTCCTGAATGCTGCAAAACAAATACAGATGGTGACTAACTCCAGCCACTCCTTCCACTCACTTTCTGAAGCGTTTTCAGGACACAGTGTATTTTATGGTAACATGGCCATACGTAGGATAATTTACAAGACCAAGTCAAGCTATCAAAATCCACTGGAGAAGTCAATCAATGTTGACTGCACTGCGTCCAAAACACTTTCATAAATCAACTCTGGTTCCTGTTCTCATGAAACTGGCTGTCTTGATGTTAGATCTGTGCTGGATAACCTTTTGAAAAGGCTGGTTGTTTGGGAGGCGTTCTCTGTATTAAGATCACTGCCACTGGGGATAAAAGTTCGGAGGCAGAATACATGCTTTCACGGAGGAGGACTTGGGTTAAATTTGCAGCATCCCCAGATCTTAGCTAGCAGGAAAGATTCTGTAGGAAAGGTATCTGGCTGATGTTTTGAAGAGCCACTGCTGCACTGAATAGCCAGAAATATTTTAGACCATCCTATGACATAATGCGGTATATGGCAGCTCCTTATTTGATTACTACGTTGCATTTTCTGTATTTGAGCACGGCTGTCATTTCCACCTGAAGCAGTATGGCAGAACAACTGTCAACACTATCATAGTGTCCCTGCAAATCTGCCTTTCTGTCATAGGGAAATGTGGAACATTGCACAGTTCTTTGAAAATTGACCATTGATAATAAAGTGCAACATGGTTTTAATAATAATAATAATAATAATAATAATAATAATAATAATAATAATTTATACCCCGCCCATCTGGCTGGGTTTCCCCAGCCACTCTGGGTGGCTTCCAACAAAATATTAAAATACAATAGTGTGTCAAACATTAAAAGCTTCCCTAAACAGGGCTGCCTTCAGATGTCTTCTAAAAGTCTGGTAGTTATTTTTCTCTTTGACATCTAGTGGGAGGGTGTTCCACAGGGCAGGAGCCACTACCAAGAAGGCCGTCTGCCTGGTTCCCTGTAACTTGGCTTCTCACAGCGAGGGAACTGCCAGAAGGCCCTCAGAGCTAGACCTTAGTGTCCAGGCAGAATGATGGGGGTGGAGATGCTCCTTCAGGTATACTGGACTGAGGCCGTTTAGGGCTTTAAAGGCCAGCACCAACACTTTGAATTGTGCCCTGAAACGTACTGGGAGCCAATGTAGGTCTTTCAAGACCGTTGTTATGTGGTCTCAGTGGCCGCTCCCAGTCACCAGTCTAGCTGCCACATTCTGGATTAGTTGTAGTTTCCGGGTCACCTTCAAAGGTAGCTCCACGTAGAGTGCACTGTAGTAGTCTAAGCGGGAGATAACTAGAGTATGCACCACTGAACCCTTTTGCCTCTGGGTGGATGCAGACAAGGAGCAAGTTTGTGCTGTAGTGGAATGAAAACTCTGTATTGTGCCAGTTGTGTCTGTTTTGGTTTGCAAGGTGAGCTGTCAATGCTATGTGGCTCTTCTGGATATAGCAGCCCTGCCACTCACCAGGTTGGGAATGGGGCGGTGCAAAGGTGGGGAAGCACTGGGGGAGCAGTGGTGGGCACATAGGTGCGTGTACTTACACCTGCCGCTACCCTGGTGGCTCCCTCCACCTTCACCACTGCCCTGAGAACCAGTGTGGTGTAGTGGTTAAGAGTGGTAGTCTTGGAATCTGGTGAACCGGGTTCGCGTCTCCGCTCCTCCACATGCAGCTGCTGGGTGACCTTGGGCCAGTCACACTTCTTTGAAGTCTCTCAGCCCCACTCACCTCACAGAGTGTTTGTTGTGGGGGAGGAAGGGAAAGGAGAATGTTAGCCGCTTTGAGACTCCTTCGGGTAGTGATAAAGCGGGATATCAAATCCAAATTCTTCTTCTTCTGCCCCACTGCCTACTCCATCCTGGTCTCAGCGAGTGGCAGCACCACCACAGCCAGAAGAGCACCACAATGGTGGTATCCTGCCGACCTATGTAGAATCTCAACTTGTTCTGTGTAGTTGGGTGGAGCTGGGAGTAGAGCCTCTAGTCTGCTGGAGTAAAGATAGTGGAGGACTGTGTCTGATCTAGGTGAAATTGTAGGCAATCTACACCCAGTGGTAAAACACATGCTTTTTATGCAGAAGGCTTGTGCATCAGAAAGACTGAGCCACTGCCTGTCTTTCGGCTGAGCTCGATGGCCCAGTAGTCTAACTCAAAGATAAAGCCCTTTCCTATGTTCCTATTAGAGCCTAAATGAATTTGCAGGACATGGTGACTTGTTGAAATACAGGAGCAGCCTCCTTGAGGACAGCATCATGGGAAGGGTGGATCTAACATGAAACTAATGAATTTTCAGCTTCAGGGGCTCTAATTCCAGACAGGCCCCAGAAGTGACTTGAGTCTACATTGCTTAAAATTTTGGGGGTCTAGTAGACCCAGTTAGAGTCACACGACTCAAATTGATTTATTTTTTGCTGTTTATAGAGCAACAGTCCCAAAGCTTGATAGTCAGTAGCGCTGATGTTGTAAAGGTGTGGTGAACTGACCCCATTGAAGAAGATAACAGTGGTTACCCAGACCTCATTGCTGGTTGTGAAGGGGGCCCCATGACAGTTCAAGCCACTGGTTATAGAGCTGCCCTACTTACACTGGCACCACCGCCACTTACATGGGTGGTGTTTTCAGAAAGCGCAATGTAGGGGCATGGTCAAGATTGCATTGGGCATATTAGTGGGAGTTCCAGACTGCTTGCCCCTTCCCATCCAAGACCAGTGTCTGAAGAGCAGATCTGCAGCTCTGCCTCACTGCACTGGTCACTCCTATTCACATTGCAGATCTCTATGCTGATACTCCAAAGACCAGAGATCTCGGCTTTTCAAATCTAATGCCTGAGCTCTAAGTCCTGAATGCCTTTCCAAACATTTGAGATGTCAGAATTTGAGGGGTACGCCATGTGCATCCTCGTTTGCATTTGGGCGACCAGGTCTGAGCAACTGCTGCTGAACACCGGCTGTTTCCAAGATGAAGAACAGCCAGTTCTTCAACAGAGCCAGTGTGGTGTAGTGGTTAAGAGCGGTAGTCTTGTAATCTGGTGAACCGGGTTCGTGTCTCCGCTCCTCCACATGCAGCTGCTGGGTGACCTTGGTCTAGTCACATTTCTCTGAAGTCTCTCAGCCCCACTCACCTCACATAAGTTAACATACCAACATATGAAATGTTGCAGTGAAGGGGGAGAGGTAGTCTGTGAGCTCAAGGTTTGCTGTGGCTTGTGCAAAAATATCTAATTTGTGGCGTTGATGATCAGCTAAGCTGGTGCCTAGCATTCTAGGTATGGTCTCTCCCCAAAAATCAGGATAACCAATCAAAGTGCATTGGAGAATGCAGACCTCAAGGGAAATGTGAAAATAGAGCACAGTTTTGTCAGAGCAAAGATTTCCGCTTGTACAACACCATTCTCTCCCCCTTCCCATGTATGACCCCCAAATCTGTTATAAGGGTTCCCCTAACTCTCTGGAGTAGATTTGGGGAGGGTGCATAGATTTTGGGGAGGAAGCAGCAGGAGGTGGAAGTCCTGTTGCTCAAACGTAAATCCTTGCACTGTTGGGAAGTGTTAGTTGAATACCACCCACAGTTTTGTACACTCCTTGCTGAAAAATGTCTAACTACTAATTATTGAATGGGCAGGAGTATGGGGGCAGGTTTTTGCATGTATCATTTTAATGAAAACTCACATCTTCTTAATTAATTTAACGTCAGAAGATACGCTCCTTCCTGTGATTATGATTCTTTCAAGATTGTGACCTCAGATACATTTTATTCAGTCACACTGCCTTTTTAACTAGGGCAGGTGCTTTCTTGGAAGTAATGAGACCGAAACGTCCATTTGGCCATTTTTGCAAAGGGCAGCAAAACCATCTCCCAGACTCCTCCTGACTTCATGCTCTGCATTCCTCTGGACTGTTTGAAATGGGAATTTATTCCTTGGGAAGGCCCCCATCAATTTGCTTTGCTCTTTTGTTGACACGTTTATTAAAAAGCTGAGCATCTTGGTATTAAAGTTTTATCGGCGTTGAAGAATAATAAGCCCTTTGAACAGATTCAGAAGTTATGGGTTGGGTCTTAGCTCTTCTCGTTGTGCAGCTTGGCTGAGTCAGCACTGAAAAGTCATCTCTGATTTCCCCCTCTCTCTCTGTTCCAGACATTTGTCCTTAAGCAAAACAGATAATAACGAAGTCAAAAGCAAAATTTTCTTTGATTTGTGTGGGCCTTGCTGGGCTGGTATAGAGGCAAAGCATCAAATCACGGTGCAGTGGATTTCTATTTGCACACAATCTCCAGTGGAATTAACAGAGATTGCATGTTGCATTTTGACTGGCATACAGAGAGGAAGCCCTGCAGCAGGTGCCTTTGCCCTCTGAGAAAAGGGAAGATAGCTCAGTGGCTTTGGCTGCAGAAACTTCTGGGTTCGGACCTCGGAATCAGCTGTTTTCAAGTACCTTTTCTTGTAACCTTAACAGGACAGTATTCCATGGTAGTCTTTCTCAGAGTAGACCCATGGAAGTTAATAGACAAGATTTACTTAGGTCAATTAATTTCAATGGGTGCAATTTGACATCACACTAAAGCCATTGTTTATTTCATTTATTTATCTTTCTATATACCGCCCTTCTTCCGCAGATCTCAGAGCGGTCCGGACCGCATCATGAAAATACAAGATAAAAACAAAAACACTTTTAGAGGCTTTTCATTTGCGCTCTCCATCTGTGAGTGTAGCAGCTGTTTCTCATCATGCGAAAGACTTTTCTGCTGGTGCGACACGTCTTAGGATCAGGCTGTTAATCAGCATGGTTAAGCGCATGCCTCTTTCTGTTATGGGCCAAGATATTTTGTTATTCGTTTTAATAATTAAGCAAAAGATGGGATTAAAGATTCATCATGTGGCAAGTCACCGCTTCTTAAAAGTCATTCTGATACAATCAGCAGGAAGCCGTTTACATTTAAAAACTGCAGGTAATTGTTGTAGAGTACTCTGCACTTGAGAAAGGTCTCCAGAAACAATTAATAATTGTCACAATTTTGTGTTTGTGTGTGTGACACACACACACACACACACAGAGAGAGAGAGAGAGAGAGAGAGAGCTTGAGAGAGAGAGCTTCTGAAATGAGTCTCTAGATTGGAATGAGAGGTAACTGAATTAATTGGGTGACTGCTCAGAGTTAACTTGTTGTGATTATAATTGCTGTTGTGTCATCAGCGTAATGAGGAGCAGAAGCAAAAGACAGGTCTCTGCCCCCATGGAGGTTACAGTATATATTTCGGTAAGGAAGAAACAGTAGTGAGACAGAGAGAGAAGGGACAGTTAGTTTGCAGTGAGGGGACCAATGATGAATATGAGTAAATGTCTTTTTTGCTTCGGTTGAGTAGGGATTAAACCATAGAGGGTTTAAAAATAAATAAACAAGAAAGGCTTTTGAAAATAGAAATGGACTAATCTGTCAATTTCATAATCTCTCTGTTTCTCATTTTTTCCCCACTCTAAAGTTCAGTTCATGACATTTCTGCCTCAGTTTGCATTTTTTATATATCTAAAAAAGCAGATTCACCAGCATTTTAGTACACGTTTATCCTAGCATTGCATTTCTGAATGCGATTTTGCCTGCTTATACACATATTTTTGCAAGCAGTTCTCCCTCACGAGAATACAAACGTTGTGTATGCTGTTTTCACCAATGGCTGCATTTTTATGCATGCTTTCGAGGTGCACATTTCTGAGTTGGGAAAGCAAAAGATGCCAAGGGACAGCTGCATTTCGGTTTGCACGTTGGCTTAGGAAGAAGGAATCGGGTCTATTGGCATAAAAATATGAAATGTACCGAATTTCTGCCCTATTCCTGATTGACTGAGCAGAGCAAAT